CTGCTCCATATAAGTTTATATACTAGTAAGTTATAACAACCAAAAGGTTGTGTAATTTACTAAATTTGGCTCAGCAAATTCATATTGGGTGGTGGATGTTGTAACTTGTAAGCATATATAGTTTTCAAAAAATCATACACAAATCCATAAACAAAGTTTCTGTTGGCCCATTGCTGATTGCTCTGTACACTAACGTAATTGAACTCCGACTCAACATGCCCACGTTGTGTAGCCCATAAAGCAATTCAAGTCTCTCAAAATTTTGTTTGAGATTTTGGGCAAAGTCTTTAAACCGTGGAGAAACTACGTCCATTGTTTTCAAGTTAAGAAAAACTAAAAAGTATTGGCGTTGCAGAAAGCCAAAAAGTTCACCTTTTTGAATCACGTTAAAATAGTTTTTTTTTTTTTGTTGTTTAGAAAGCCACAAATACGGGGATAAGAATCAATTTTAGGATTTTTTGAAATTGGGAGGAAAACTCTTACCACTTGAGCTATCTCTCACTATCAAAGTTTATAATTTCTGAATACATATTGAAAATTAACTTACAAGATTTCATGTGACTATAATTTGAACAAATGAAACTCTTTTAATTTGTTTGGAGAATATTTTTGTTTTCTTAAAAAAATTGGAGGAGAAAAATCCTACTTAGCCAAAACCTCGACTCTTTCACATCATCAACTCAACCTGGTTTGTGGGTTAGGCTCTTTATAAGTGGGGGGAGGCTATATGAATTCTCACCCCAAAGTTTTATGAGGATTGATGCAAATTTTCCTAATAGACCAAAATTTAGTTTGCATAAATTTATTTTAGGTTACCTTGAAAAGCCTTATTATAATAATGGAGACATGTGAACTCCGAAGAAAACTCTTCCATATTCTTTACATGGAGGAAGTAAAAATGGAGGGTTGTGAGACAACTGCAAATGTCTCATAACCATTAAAACCATTAAAATAACTAGGAAGAGTGAAAAAAGTGATGTGGGCGCCACTAAAACTTTTCAGAAATGATTTCATGTGCAAAAACGACAAAAAAAAATTGAGACCACAACTACTGACTGAGGATTTTTATAAGTGCCACTAAAACCGCATTGAGTACCACTGAGCTGTAATGGTATTATTTGACAGTCTAATTAGACATTTGAACCTTTTTTTAAATACCACTAAAATTATATTTTGTACCACTGAATCTAAAATGACAAAATTTAAATCCCACATAAAATGACCAATCTACCCCTGTGAGACACTTCTAAATCTCTCTCAACCCTCCGTTTATATAACCTCCTTTACACGCATGTGAGACTTAAGTTTATATTCCAACAACAAACAAATTCATTCTAGTATGATATATACTACAATACTTCATACATTTAGTTGGCTAGGAGTCGGGATTTAGAAATCCCTTTTAAATCATCAAATGAAATAAGGTTAATGGAATTTTATACTTCGTATCATGATATCAATGACTAGCTAGGATTTGGGCTCCGGCGATGCCTCAGATCGAATTATTACATAAAACTAATAATTAATATACATTGTAATTTATGATTCAATTTTCTTGTAATTAAATTTGTTGTTTATATTGTCATTTACAACATATTAATAATTTGTATTCAAAAGATTGCATGAAAAATCACATAACTTGAGGTAAGATACTTAGTTTTAGAATTAGAAGTTGGGTGTTTAAATCTTGTAGTGAACCTTTTTTTTTTTTAAAGTGAAATGAAAAACATATGGACGTAATGAGTAGATGAGTGAGTGATATGGCGTAGTGAAGGAGGGGTACGTGACACGTGGACGTTTTTAAGAACGTCTTTTAATATATTAGTATAGATGTTATTATTATAAATATATTACTTTATTAAAAAGATCATCAAAACAATACTCGTATTTGCTAAATGATCTAAGCAATAGATAATAAATATTAAAGAAATAATGTTTAAAAAGAGTAAAGCTAAAAAACACATCATATATGAAATTATTGCATATCAAATTACTTTGTTCATGATAAGTCATGAATCATGATAATAAGGTTCCCTCTTGACCAATTTAAAACCAAAAACTCATGCTTTTTGCCAATGAAAAAGGAAAAACTTTCTTGCAAGTGAACAAGCAAGATTACATTTGGAGTAATAGTGTAACACAAATTTCTTACTTTAGAATTTACTTTAAAGCCTTTTCTTCATTTTTTTGGGTCAAATAATCCCTTTAAACACACCCAACGAAATCTCCCCCCCCCCCCCCCCCCCCCCCCCCAAAAAAAAAATCCCTTTATTGTTTCGCGCACAATCAACGACCTCACTAAATTAGCTAGAATCTAGTACCTTATTACACAAATCGACGATATATAGTAACACTTCCCATGTTCATTTTTATTCTCTTTGTTGGTTTTTTGCGACTTTATTAACGTAAAGGAATTTTGTTTTGAAAGGGAAACAACGTTAGGAAATTGAACCATTTAAACGAATATATAAACAAATGAAAGTAAACATTTAAACGAATATATCTAATTTTCATAAGATAATATTTTATGTTTACAGAAAATCTTGCATGGACCTGGTCCACAATAATGTGGACCAAGGTTTATACACACATAACTATCATTATATTTAATATAGTGACCCCTAATTTTATCACAGTAACCTTATTTTTAACATAATAACCTTTTTGTAAAACTTGCATGACCTTTAATGTTATTATGAATTTAAAGTACAACATTATGTTGAATAGTGAACTAATGTTAACATAGTGATCTTTATTATTCATATTGACCATTATATTAAAATTTTCATTAAAAAAATTAACCTCTTATAAATTTATAATATCACTCTAACTTTTATTTCAATATAATAACTTTTATTTTAATATAGTGACTTTTTTTTAATTATTAATAAAAAAATCATATAGTCTCTAATGTTAGTGGTCCACAATAAATTAGTGTGAACAAGGTTCATTATTTGAGAATTTATTAATATTCAAAATATAAAAGAATAAACATAAATATCCCTTTAAAAAAAACATAAACCTGTAGAATTTGTTTGATTCGTTTATTTTAATGCAATATTGTACTCTAATTAAAATTTCAAGACAAACGTTTAAATAAATAAGCAAAAGTTACCCTAATATGAATAAAAGTTACCCTGACATAATTAAAAGTTACGAAATATATTTATGATTTATTGATAAAAGTTACCCAAAAAATTGTAAAAGTGACCCCCAATATACAGTAACTTATTGTACACCAAATGTATACAAAAGTTACCCTATTCTACTCCCTCTATTTTTAAATACTTGCTCCACTTTCCTATCCCGTCCGTTTTTAAATACTTGCTCCATTTTTTGAAAAGCTTTTATACTCCGTAATATTTAATTCATTTCTCACACTCGGTGGACCAACATAATACTCTCTCTCCTCTTATTCTTCCATTACTTTTTATTTTCTTAACTACCCCACTACCTCCATATTTTATTACTTTCTCCAAAAACTCCGCGCATGGAGAAATGAATCAGAGCAAATATTTAAAAACGGAGTGAGTATATTACTAGAAAAAAATATAAAAAGATATATTTGAAAATTACAAATCCAGAAAAATCTTAATAGAAACTCTCAATAATATATATTCCAAATGAAATAATATTTAAAAATGAAGGAAATAATAATAATAATAATAATAATAAATTAAAGTAATAACACTCCCCTTGCTTTAGATTAATCACAACCATTTATAACTATTAATATATTTGTAATTCCATTAATATACATTAAGGATTTGTTCATATTTACTTAACTAGGTTAGGTCCCGTGCCATGCACGGTTATTTTTAATAATTGTTTCATATAACACTACATCTAGTTATAAAATAAAAATTTATTTAAATATTATGCTTAATTTATGAAAGAGCTTGTTAGTTAGTATATTTTCTTTAAAACTACTTTTGCCTACGCATACCTTTACGTGCACCCGGATGTATTTAAAAGGTGATAATTAGCCACTGTCCACTGGAAAGACATGATTTTAAAAATATGCATTTGTTAATATGCATATATATTTGTATATATATTTGGTTTCACTAACAAATTGCATTGGTATCATTTATTAACCAAATGAATTTATTAAAACGTAGGACATTAAAAATTATGTTAAGAATTTTTTTTCTTTTATTTTTTTTTCCTTTTTGCTTAAATTTAAAGTTGTTAAATTTTTCTTTTGGAAAGATAAACCAAATATTTTATTTTAAGTAATTTTTTAATACTTGATATTCGAATTACTTTCTCGAAGCTTTTAATATATAATTAAAATAAAAATAAAAATAGAATCTTTCTTGTAATATTTGACACAAATTCTATAAAAAAAACTCTATTTTTTTTTTATTTTTTACTTATGTTTATATAGTTGGTGACATATTATTATGGAAATATACATAAAATCTTTTATTTGTGTATAAATTTGTGTTTTTTTTTATTTATTTTTATGTATGTATTGTATAAGATTTGTTTCTAAAATATTTTTTTAATAAAATGAAAAAAAACTAAGGACACACCAGAAAATGACACGTGTCATTGCTTGTGTGTCTTTTTGTATATATTATTGATTTCAGTTCAGTTCAGTTCAGCTCTAATCAGTTCAGTTCATTTCAGTTTAGCTCCTAATTTCCCTCTCTCATAAAATATTCATTTCAGTTTTTTTCAGTTCAGTTCAGCTTCAATCAGTTCACTTCAGTAAATGTGAACATGCCTTAAAACTTGCGAAGTAGCTAATGTAGGTACTAGTATACAATTATACAAATAGAGTAAAAAATTATTGTACAGTAAGACCCTGTTCATTCACCTTTAAAAAAACAATATTAACTAAAAATAATTTCAATTCAGTAAAAATAATTTTAGTTTAATAAAATTCAGTTATCTTAAAGAAGAATTATAATAGAAAACCAGTATAAATAATTTCAATTCAGCAAAAATAATTTCAGTTTATTAAAATTAATTTAAGTTCTGTAAAAATAATTTAAGTTCAGCAAATATAATTTTGTTTCAGTAAAAATAAAGTGAAGTAATCAACGGGGCCTAATTGTTATGAAATATTTGTGGATACCAATAATTTGAAACACGTAATAAGTACTTCGTAATAAATATAAAAACAATAAAAAAAACAATAATATGCTACACTCAATTGTACGAAGAATAAAATGTGTCGACTTTTAAATCATGCTAATTACCACAATAAAAAAAAGCCACGTGTAAAACCAAAATAGACTAACTATCACCAAAAATTAACCAACCATAAACCTTGTTGACGTTTAAATCATTCATAAACTTTCTCTGTTTTTCTATTTAAATATCAAATAAATCTGCCACCATTTTTCTCATTCCCCCAAAAACAGAGACAACAGCTGAGTCTAGTTATTTCAGGAGATAAAGACTTCGCCGGAGATTCAACATTCCGGTGACACCTCGCCGGGAAACGTGAATAACTCCGGCGAAAACTCCGATCAGATTCGAAACATCGAGATTAAATGAGTCGCAGAGCAGTCAACGGAGGGGAGAAAATCGAACGAGGTAAAACGACCACGACAACAACAACGACGACAATGAGGATGAGGATAAGGGAGAAAAGGGTGGAGAAGAGATTGGTGAAGTACGAGGAATTGCCAGAGTATTTGAAAGATAATGAATATATATTGGATTATTATCGTTGTGAATGGCCTTTGAAAGATACATTTCTTAGTGTTTTTTGTTGGCATAATGAAACGCTCAATATTTGGACGTTAGTATTTTATTTAATTAATTTCATCATTTTTCTTTTTAGTTTGTTTTCATTTTATTCAATGATTTTCTTGTGATGATAGTTTGATGGTTAGTCCCTTAATAGTTGTGTTTTGATTGTTTGGTTTTGTTTGTTATGATATGAAACAGGCATTTGGGAGGGTTTTTGATATTTGCGGCGATGGCGTTGGCAAGCTTGATGGAGGGTGCCAAGGGTGGCGGACCTGTTTCTAGTTTTTTCAGGTATTTTTTTTTCTCTATAACAAAATTCGTCTTTGTTGAAGGGAATATTAGTTTGGTAGTATAAAATATAAATAATGTTATTATAATAGCTCTGAGAGTGATGGATATTAAGTTTTAAAAAAATTGTATAAACCATAGATCATTGTTGACAATGTTGTTGTATACTTGTATGTAAGAGGTGGGGTTGGGTGGGGGTGGGGTGGGGGAGGGGGTTGGGTGGTAATAAAATACTAGTAAAAGTAGTCCGGTAAAAACAATATTAAGTGAGTGTTACTGTACGAGTGATAAAAGATAAAATAGTTTTGTAATGTAAGTATAAGGTTAAATATAGCTCTAAAAGTGATGGATGATAACATATAGAATTGTACGTGTAAGAAAAGGTAATGTAGCCATGGATAAGAAACAGTAATAGTTACGTAAAGATAAGATTAAATATAGGTACCTCTAAGAGTGATGGATAAGAAGATAAACAATTACGTAAAAATAGTGTCAATTATAGTTGTAATGGTGATAAAAAAAAGGAAATAAAAATAGTTAGGTAACAATAGGGAAACAAATTTAGCTAAAAATATCAAATTTGATGTTTTTGGTACTACTAAAACACCAATTTACGGTGACATGAACAAGAAGCAACTAATTTAAAGTGTTTGTTTTTTTCCTCAATATGTGATGCAATGCACTTGTCTAACACTTGATCCTTCTTTAACTGGCCTGGATTGGTAGTTATATTGTCGTTGTATAATTAAATCATATATAGTTGTAAACTAAAGTTATATAATTGTATAAAATTATAAGGCTAAAAATCTTATCACACTTTAATTACGAAGTATATGAAATTTACTGTTTTTTTTTTCCTTAATGAACTAAGCCAACAAAAGGTATGGAATACTACGTATATTGTTGAAAGAGTAAGAACAGAAAACAAGATAAACACATTTCCAAGGAATTTCAGTGCTATTATAATGTACTTAAAATGATTATTATAAACTTTCATGCACTGTCAAATTGACTCTTGACAATTCATGGAAAATAGTGGCATTTCCTTAATACAAGTACATTAATTAATAATTAGATACCGTTCAAAAAAAAAATAAATAAATTAATAATTAGATACACTTGTGACCTGTCAGCTAAACTAACGGTCGATTTGTAATTACAAAAACTAAAATACTATTTGTCTCCGGCAATTAGCATGGTCAACCTGAAATGGTGGTGCTCCCACCGCCGCGTACATGACATGAGGTATATGTGCCGTGCCACGGCCCACAAGGGTGAAGGGTGTGTGAAATGCACAACTTCCATATACGGAGTATATAAACAATGTACAAGAATCTTTCTTCATTGAAATTATTTAAGGCGTGTTCGACAGCAGCTTTGATTTTAGGCAGTTTTTTTTCTAAAAAGAATAATACAATTAAAATATATCATGATCAAAACAAGGAAAAAAAAAAGAAAGAAAAGATATCATTGTTTCATTATCATCATGAATCAATCATAATATATTTCATGCAAGGTAAGTGGTATAGGATAAAGAATCTAGTCTCTTGAAATAAGGCATTGGTCTAATTTATAAACCTCTGGTCTAATATGTCTTTATCTAACTAAAACGTTGACCATAATTTTACACATGTGTATAAGAGTATAAGACGATACATAATTAAGTATGGGAGTAAATTTTTGTTAGATTTATCTCAATAGGTATAATATAAATATTACATAGTTAATTTTCAATTTTTTGTATGCAATTAATTAGAAAAAATGTAGGGTGGAATCTAAGTATTTGTTTTTGGGCTCAGGACTACTATTATCGCGACACCATTAATGACCATGTTAACGATGGATGGGAACAATAGCTCAAATAATGCGAGTCCGGTGAGTAATGCTTCTCTTGTTTACATATTTGTATCAATGGTTCATTTTAAGTTTAGGGTCGGGGTGGTTCATGATAAGGTCTTGTAGATCTAGTTTAACTAAATTATGGAATAAAACCGAGTCATTAGGGTCAATTGACATCATTTCAACTCAATATTGCCATCAAGCCTATAAAAAAACAGAAACACCAAATGACACTCCTTAATTAGATTTTGGCACGTACAGACGTACTCCTGCGAGTAAAACACAAAAATTTATACTTTTATAAAGGGCGTGTCAAAATCAATCCATGAAGTGACAAAATTTTAATTTCCAATTTTCCGAGATAAGCCTCCTAGATCCTTCTATTTTATCACAACCAGTCATCCACCATGTGACCGGGTGGAGATAATGACCCACGAATGATACAAATAGTGAAAAAAATGGGGGCCTTGATTTTGACGACTTCTTTTGTATTTGTCCCTCATGTGTGTTACTGAAGCTTTTGTTGTTTAAATAATTTAGACAGCCTGTTTTCTAAACTATAATTGTGTGTTCGTTTGTGTCCTTTCTAATTATATATATATACAACCTGAATTTAAATTTATTTCGTGGGATAGTAGTATGGTACTACTACATTATTATAATTATAGACTTATAGTTATGCATATCAAGTTATCAACTAATAAACAAAATTCTATAACTGTACAAGTATCTTTAATTTATCAACGGTTGTACTTGGAAAGAGAAGTTTATACTATTGTATATTATTGTCATTTTCACTAGAAAAATTATGTGTCAACATGAACGAGAAAAAATTAAGTCTAGTGTTGTTGAAGTCTTCCAAGATTGTGACTTGTGGTTGTGAAACTTGAATTGACATTTGATTGGATGACGATCAGTATTGTTATTTGTTTATTCAAAAGATGGATACAGGTCGATTTAGACATTGTAATTCATACAAGAAACGTGGTGTCATAATTTTTATTTATAAAAATGTCGTTTTAAGGTTATGCACGTTGGCCGAGCATTGTGTTCTGGCTTAATCATAGGCTCCAGCACAATGTGTAGTCTGAAATATGACCTTGCCTTGTTACTTTGGCTTGAAACATTCATGTACTATTTGGTTAATTCATGAATTGAAATCGCCTTATTTCTCTCTTGCAGGGTGAAAATTATAGGCACTTCTCAGAGTCCTCACTGTTGGACACTGGCACAGGAGGAGCAGAACTCGTACCGATGTGGCCTTGGTTTCTTTTCCTAGCAGGTGCAATGTGTTGCTTGGTTTTCAGCTCAGTCTCTCATCTCCTAGCCTGCCATTCTAACCACTTGAGCCGCTTCTTCTGGCGCCTAGACTACGCAGGAATCTCAATCATGATAGTTTGTTCTTACTATGCTCCAGTGTACTACTCTTTCTATTGCCATCCTTTGTCTAGCCTTCTCTATCTCACTTCCATCACCATTCTCGGTGTTCTTGCAATCATCACCCTTCTCACTCCCGCTCTTTCCTCTCCTGATTTTCGTGTTTTTAGAGTCTCCCTTTTCCTTGGCATGGGATTCACAGGGTTCATCCCTGCTGTTCATGCAGCTGCACTCTTTTGGGATCATCCACATGTGTTAGTAGCCCTCGGGTATGAGATTCTTATGGGTATTTTATATGCAATCGGAGTTTGGTTCTATGTCAATCGCGTTCCTGAACGTTGGAAACCAGGATTCTTTGATCTTGCCGGCCACAGTCATCAGATCTTTCATGTATTCGTTGTCGGTGGGGCTCTCACTCACAGTGCAGCCATTATGGTTATTCTGCACTGGAGACAGGGCATGCCTACCTGTTTTTAGTTTCAGACAGCTGATAACATACAACAGTAGCAGAGAATTCAGTTGTTTGGATCGGAATCATAAACCTGCAGCAGAAGGAAATGTATCAATTGTTACTCAAGTTTGTATATTTAAGGCAGAGAATTGAAAGAAATGTCAAAAGAAGCTAGCATCATTCTCACCTGGTATATAAGCTTATTCTTCTCAGAAACCATATCATGTTGTGTAATTGGTTGATTGACGTTGTCTTGAAGAGATGATGATAGATGCATCTGTTTCAAGAAACATCACTTGCATCACTTAGTTGTAGGTTGCAACTAATGGGCTTCGTATTTTTTGGTGTATGCATAATGTAATATATTGAGCTCAATTTGAGCATATATTTGTGAATGCAAAAAGCGCTTTGTACAATTGGAAGCACAACATTGCATATTTGCATATATTAACACTGTTAAGAATATTTTAAAAAAGGTCTTTAAGCCACACCTTGAGGTCTGACTCCTAAGGCTCGAAAAGGTATAATTGGATGCAAAATTGACTAAATTCTCTACTTGTACATTAAACAATCTCTATCAACAAAATATTATATTAAGTGCACTACATTGAATAATTTGTACAAAGTACTTCATAATAATTACTAGCATAATATTGGAGCAATCTCTCTATCAGGTGTAAACCAAAAGGCGGAAAAATACCTGTATGAAATCTACTTTGCACAACAATATTAGATCTGAATCAGAAGTATACTACTACATCAAAATATGTTTTACTTGTCAGACTGCTGCTGCATATCAGTATATCATAGGGTTGTAGAATGAGGTGGTAGAATTTTCTATAAAATAAAACTCTCTCCATTCAACTAGCAACCTCAACAATTTCTGTTGGAGTTTTTACAATTCTAGTAATGCAAATCGGATATTTACCAAGTGAGTGTGCAAGGAGTTGATGATGGAGTGGTGTGTCAAGCAAGTTAGTGAGTTGCGCGAGACCGAGCTAGCAGTGGAGCTAGCGAGAGAGCTATAGATGGCATGGCAAGTAGACTACGCAAGGTCGAGCTAGCGTTAGAGCTGTAGCTCACATGGCATATGAGCTACTGCAAGTCCGAGCTATAGCTCGGATGGTAGCTTGTATGGTTGCTCTGCTTATGGCAGGTGCGAGCTATAGCTTGCGTGCTAGCTCGCTGCGCTTGTTGCTTGCGGTAGGTGCGAGCTATAGCTCGCGCACTAGCTCACTAGGATTGTTGATTGCGGCAGGGCCGAGCGATAGCTCGCTCATATGAGAGCGAGAGCTCGGCCGCTCGTGGGCTTATCGTGGAGGCCTTGTTTGCTTCATTCATATCCTTTCCTTGTACAATATATATATATATATATATATATATATATATATATATATATATATATATACACTCTCCTAAGCCCTCAAAGAGGGATATATAGTTTTGTTATCTCTGGAAATCTAAACACAAAAACAAAAACCTACCCTTGAGATCTGAACAGTTCTTGAGTAATTCCACGCTTCGGGTTCGGGTACACGAATTACGAAGGAGAGTTGCGTTAAACTTGGGGTGCGTGCGCCATCAGGAAACTTGTACCGGTGGTGGCGTATTTCGCTTCTAAGGCAGTGGATTATGTTCCACGGCGCGACTGTGAGTTTGAGATCTTCAATCAAGTATTTTCCCTTTCATCTTCTCTATTTTTGTTATTGGAATCGACAGGTATTTTACCAACAATTTAGAAGCGAAATAGTATTAATTTATATACTGTTGATTCCTTGAATTTGGAGTTTGTACAATTTTGGGATTATGCGTTTGACGAACTTCAAGAACCCTAATTTATGGATATTAAAATATTAAAGCGGAATTTAATAGGGAATTGACGAATTGAAGTCGTTCTTTTTTCCATAATTCGAAGTTCGTATAATTCAAGTTTGGGGATAATTACTATGATATTGATTGTCAGAGCATTAGTGAGATTACCGCTCATCGAATACGAATTGAAGTGTATATGCATTGGGCTTTATGAATAATCTTGAAGATTATTAAATTGGTCGAAGGCGGTGGTATTTTAATCTGCTTTGGTTTTGTCCACTTTACTTTAGTGGATTTTGTTTAAGTTTGGTCTTCATATTTCAAGAAGAGATAATAATCTCATGAGTTCATCAAATTGAAAAGTATTTTGCTACTACTTCGACGTCACCTTATAGAGTCTTCAATATTCCTTTGCGGCAATGGTATTGCGAGATACGCAGCTGACTTGATGAAGTCTCGTAAAGGTGTTGAGTGCTCTACATTAATGGAGAAGCAATGCATGGCTAATCATGCTTGGAGATAAGTCCTTCTCAATTTATTTAAGTTATTTCTAACTCTACTCTATATAATATGTTTATTATATGTTCCCAAGTATGCATAATTTATGATTATGAAGTATTGCTTTGCAATGTGGGGGTATTTTGAGTTAGATGTTTGTGACTAACTAGTAAGTTAGTTCTACTCATGATACTGAGTAGTTTTGAGAAGTAAGGTTTCCATGAGTGGTTGTCTAATTTTTATTTGTGGCTATTTGCTAGTGTGTGAGTTGTAACTTGCAAGTATTTTTTTTCTGCTATTTGTTGTATGATTTGTTTAATCATGTAATGTGGGCATTGCTATTTGTCCTAGTAGATTAGGTTCGATACGTGTTCTATCTTATGATAGTGTTTTTAAATTGTTATTTTTCCTAATCATGGACAATGTTTTGTTGAGCACAGAGTATGTGATAAGCTTGTAAGTGTCTCTTTTTTAGATTAAAAAGGGATTTAGAATTATTGGTTCTTTTAATTCTTGTGATCTTAATTAGCTGTGTTCACGAACTTGAAATGTATTGAATTCGCTAGAGGCTTAGCAATTATTTTTCCTTGTTGATGGTCTAGATGAGACCCGGTTGATTTCCGTGCTTATTAGCAGAATAAAAAGGCTTGACTAAGTAAAGCTAGAATGGCCGTGCAAGTTTGAAGTGTAAGTGTCCCACCTGAGGTAAGGATGGGAATTAACATTCTATATGTCTTTACTATCTATTAATATTCTGTGAATGTTAGTATTGTGGGGGTTGATATGTTTCAGTTGATTATTTGTGTAGTAAGTAGTTCACCCAAGAATTTGGTGGATACTCCCTATTTGTTACCCGAGTCATGGTTTTTTTTCATGTGGTATATGTGATGTGGGGTTTTTCCAATAATGAAGAATTGACTTCTATATATGTTTCACATAAAGCATGAAGGCTTGTGGGACTGTGGGTGATATGTATGCTGAATATTTGCTACGTTTATCATGTACGAGCTTGATATGTTAAACCCTTGAAATGTCTCAAGTATATGTTTTCCTATGACATGACATGTTAGTTTTTCTCATTCATAGGATTTGTTCTTGCTTCCTAAGCTTTATTCTTCCAGTAAAGTTGATGAGTTCATCATCTAAGGTGTATTGGATTAAAGCTTAAACTAGTATTATATCATCTTGGTTTTTACTTTCTTGTTCGAAAGTTGTATGTAGATGTTTGTTGTGTGGTATATATTCATGTAGTGGTGAATGAAAAATCCTAAACCATATGGATAAACCTGATTGACTAGTTGTGGAAAGAAGCATGTTAACGCGAGTTGTGCACTCTCTTTGAGTCTGATATGTTTGAGAATAGTATATCTTTCCTTGCTATTAAAAATCCATCCGTTGTAAGTATCTTTCAAGGTGAGTTGAAAGGTGGTTGATTGGAAATGGGCTAAAGGTAAGATACTATGTTGTTAGGATTTATTCTGTAAGTTTAGTGCTGACCAACTTTTATGACTCACCTGGTTTGTTCTAAGCTTGTCTGGTTTGCAGTAAGGTTGCTTAAGCTTCCTATCATAATTGATTGTAAATCAAGGGTGTGTATTTTAAAACGCATGCACAGGTGAAACCTTAGAAGATGAGGTATTTTTTGCTCATGATGTTATATCCTTTGTGATATGTATGGTGAGTGGGGGTTAGATTTGAGTACTCTAACTTGTTATGTTAAGTTTTTCTTGGCATGTTGAGCGCGGGGAAATTATGTCGTTGACTAACCTCCTCACGGCCAAACAAAATTTATTATAATCCTAAACTAACCCCTAAACAAGTCTAGTGGTAAGTTCGGAGTCGAACCACAAGGAACGGTAATGTTGGATTGTTCTCGATCTAATGCTTAAGCTACGCCGAAGTCGGTTTATGGATAGTGGACACCACAACTACACTAACACACATATAAAGATCAAGATATTACAAAGTCTACTAGGGGCAAAGATCCACTTTGAACAATTAACAAGTTAATGGGAATCGATTTGATAATCAATCATGCAAAGAAAGAATTAAAATGGGAATTAATTACCATCAAGAGCAATATCTCAAATTTCTAGCCTAGATCCCTCATTGACTAGCTGCATAGAAGAAATTTACCCAAAATGCAATCTAATATATAAATTCTAATTCACAATCCCTTGTCAAACTAGAACTAACATGCAATTAAGTTTGCTATCTTGGGAGATCAATCCAATCTAAAACAAACAACATGCCATCATCAATTCAATCAATTTAATCACACAATTATCATCAAATTTATCTCAAATAACTCAATTAACCATAACAAAGCTTCACTCAACACCTAGTAGAAGGAAATCTACTCAAACATGATTAACAAAGAAATTAATAAAGCATAAAGAGAGAAGAGAGTAAGAAATGCTCATTGATATAAAATGGAGATCTTCAAATCATCAAATTCCTCCTTTGATTATCCAAAATCCATGAAAACCATTGTTTCTCTAACTTTCTCTCTCCAAAATTTGAGAGTTTCTCTCTCTAAAAACCTAAAACTACTGAAAATATGAAATCTCCCCTCTAAAATGAGCAAAAAATCTATTTATAGCCCTTACTAAATTGCCTAGGAAGCTCCGCAAAAAGTCGAGCAGCGCGTAGAGGAGCGGGCGTGCACCCCTCAGGAGCGGGCGCTCCAAACTTTCTGCCAAACCTTCTGCCAAACTTCAAAATTGCACACCCTGTGAGGAGCGGGCGTGCGGCCTTGAGGAGCGAGCGCTCCTGGCTGCGGACTGGGCAGACTACTCAGCTTCAAATGAGCATATCTCCCACGTTTTACATCGGAATTGAGCATATGACCTGTCGTTGGAAAGCTCTCAAGATAAGCTTTCATCTCCGATTGGAATCGCCCCAAAATGTTTTGTAGATCAAAAGATATAGGCGTTTGAAGTATGATCTTTGCAAATCAAGTGCACATTTCTTCATTACTTGTTCTTTTATGCTTTATATTTCTTCAATCTTGAGCAATGAACTTATCCAAGTGTTCCTAAACATAAGAGTAAACCAATAAAGTTTAATCTAATGTCATAAGCCACCAAAATATGCAAGAAAAGCC